CATAATGGAAAAGTTCTAAGTTTTTGTGTAGGATGCTGAGAAATGTACAATATACACTAGTGTTTTTTTTTTTTTAATTATCTGTTTTAGCTGTGGGATTTTTTGGCATGGAGGGTTGTGGTGGTAAAGAAGGAAGTTACTTGTTTCAAATCCACAGGACGTTAATGTAAATTCAAACCTCTGAGCTTCCTCAGGCTTCTCAAACCACTTAGCCTAGTAATTATGACTTTTGAATGTTAGATAATGTCTATAAGACAGATGTACAATGTGAGACTATACGTGTGCATATATATATACACGGAATTTAAGTAGAAATAAAACTTTGAGATGACTTGTAAACTGACTTGCTTTAGAGAAAGTGGATCCTGCTTTGAATTATGAAGATTCATTTTCTCTGAAATACCTAAAATTTTGAAAAGGGGCAAATAAACCTGACTTGTTATCCCTCTCCAAATTATAAAATCAACACACACATTAAAGGGAATGGTAGTGAGCTCTGGACCATTCCACTTGTAGAATAAAAGAGTCATATAACACATACTGACCACCTTGATAAAATTCACATCCCTTTTACTACTAGGGGACAATAACTTATTAAAAATGTTTTACTGAGGGTCTCCTGTGTGTCTGCACCAAACAAAGCAATGCATATGCATTTGCTCATTTAACCTTAACAGCTGTTCTGTGAGGTAGGAAACGTTACAGTTTGCAAGTTACAGTTGAAGAAACTGAGATGGGGTACATTAAGCAACTTGTCCACAGTAAGATGTGAATTCGGAAGGTGAGAGTAAAGAAAAAGAAAGAACAAAAAAATGAAAACCTTTCCATTCTCCAAAGTTGTAGAACAAATAGACAGGGTTCTTGGGTGTGGAAAACAGAGGTAACTCAGGGGTTAGGAAGTCTAATGTACAGTTTTCAGTTCTTCTTCTTTCTCCCTCCATGTCTTGTCCAATATAGAGCAAGGCCAAGGTCCAGAAGAGAGAGGGGCCAGTCTCACAATCTCCCAAGCTCCCTAGCTTAGATGGAGAAAGTTAGTCTCCTTTTCCTGCTTCTCTCACCAGAATTCTCCCATAACACTCACCTCCCATCACCAGAGTCTGATAATACACAAATGCAAAACAAAAGCAAGGATATAAAGTGGCATTTTTAATATCATCAGTAAAAGAGGTACCCATAATAGGTCAGTCCTTTATCTCCTTGCCAAGTTCAGGAGGGAAGTTTTAGCCTTGATGCTCAGACTATATACACCATCACTAGTTTTAAAACATTGAAATATTCCAGATCCCCCACCCACCCACCTACAGACCCTGGGGACCCCCAGACATCCCCATGATCAGTCAGCAAAAGGGTTAATGCCTGGTCCTGGTGTAAGAGGGTGTCTCCAGGACCCTACTCTCTTACACACCTGCTGTCTGTTGTGATCGGTTAGTGCCCATGTCAAAGTTTTTGACTACCACCCTTGCAGCATTCGCAGCCTCAATGTGACTTGTTGGTAGGTGGCCAACAAATCATGCATGGCACTGCACTCTCTCAGTGACATCTTCCATTCCTATCCTGTGGTCAGGACAACAGGACCACTGATTATGGTGCTTTAATTGATTAAGAGATGATCTCTTCACAATCCTAAATAGCCCCCAAATCATCATTTTTGAATACTCTGTTATGTGTTATGCTTTCTAAAGGAATACGGAGAATGTTTTACGAGTATGCCCAGCCTTCCTCTTACAGACCAAAAAGGAGGTTCTACAGTTTTTAAATGAGATTAGATATTCGAGAGATTTTTAGGTTGTTTACAGCATTTACTTTTCCTCTACACAAGCAGATGGGGATGTACCCCTGGGGCGGGGGACAGCAGGTATTTCTCAATGCAAGTGCCAAGAGGAAGGACACAGCAGCCTCCCTGCCCAAAGACACAAAGTCAGATTAGGTGGCTTCTCAAAAAGCTTCTCTCTTTCCTTTCCCTTTTTAACAATCCCACTAGAAGCAGGTGAAAATTAAAAAAAAATTTTTTTTTCATTGCATATAAACAATTCAGAAGAAATGTACAAATGTGATTTAAGCCAATCTGGGTATTGGGGATACTTCATAAAACATTCTAGAAGATACAAAAAGATTGTCCATGATTATGTCATTGAGGTCATTCTACCTCTTAGGTGGAAAGTTGGATGAATTTCTCAAAATGCAAACAGAGAGATAAAATTAAATTTACAAACCAGGGAAAATTTAGGCAGGACAAGGAGATTGTGCTATCTGTCTGTCATACCTTCCAAGTTCGTTTATAAATCATAGCCCAGTGGTTTTCACAGTGTGGTTCCCCCAACCAGCAGCACAAACATCACCTAGGTTATATGAGAAATGTAGATTCTCAGGCCCCTGCCCCAAACCTTCCCAATCAGAAACAGAGGGTGGGGCCCAGCAATCTAACTGTCACCAAGCCCTCCAGATGGCTCTGATGCATACTCCAACGTGAGAAGTGCTGCCTTACCCTGTTGGCTCCTCCCAACCAGTAGATGAAACAGGGAATGTAGCATTAACAGTTTTGCATAAGAAGCAGCACAGTTTCAGAGAGGGTAAGCGATTTACCTAAAGTCACATAGCTTACTGGTGACAGAACTAGCACATAAACCCAGGCCTTTGACTGGATCTAGTTCTTTTTGTCACAATCTCATCGTGATGCAATGTCCATAGGCAGATAACCTGAACTGCTTGATTCTGGAAGGGCACAGATGAGCTGGGAAGAGTAAAGGAGGTGATGCCTGGGGAGGATCAAGGCAACTCGGAGGAAGTCGGGATCCCCTGCAGTCCACAGATCACAGTGGAGACCAAGAAAGGCAAAGAACTTGCAGGACAGATCATCATATTCTAGATAACTTGACTCCTGGGTGCAGCCTAGGTTTCTTTTTTAAAAGAGCTGTGATTCTACTGGCCTTCTCCTTCATGCCTGCCCTACATCTTTCCCATAGGGCTTCCTCAGAAACTCACTGCTGCTGTGCTCACAGGGAGTTTGACCAGCGCCCTCGCCATTATTCTCAACACACCATTCATTAGGGATTTTGATGATTTTTGTCTCCTTCACCTAGCACATAAGGTCCATTACAGAAGGGATTTTGTCTACTTGTTTCACCATCCCAGGATCTAGTCTAGGGCCGGCACTAATAGGTGAGCAAGACATATTTGTTACACAAACACACATAAATATAAACAATCTACCTTGATATATCAAAATGTGTTTTCATAGAAGACCTTCACCCTCAAAGTGACATTGGCTATTTTCTCCCAAACAAGAAATTATGGAGAATTATTTAAAACATGGTTTAAAATCATCACTGAATAGAAATCCAAAGCTTATGTTGAAACTCCATTTTTTTTATTCTGTGAAATCTCTTTCTCTCTTTTCCCTCTGCCCTTCGTTGTCTTTCTTGGTGAATTCATCATCACATTAGCTCTCTAGTCAAGGATCTCAAGATGGGTAAGACTGTTATATCTATTGTTGATTTGTCTTTTTTTTTTTTTTTTGCCTTGACACAAAGCATGTCATCTGTGTCTGAATTTATCGTTTAGATTCTATTCCATTTACAAAAACATCCGTTCCAATTAGACTAGGACTGAAAGAAGAAAAGTCTGAAGTCCATGGTAAAAAGATGCACGTCTACATCCTTGCCTACAGCATTTAATAATTGGCATTCGCTTTCAAGGAAGCTGTAGCTCATACTCCAAGTTCCGTTGGCACTTCCAGCTGGACAAAATATAGACACAGATGCACTCAGCTAAGTAATTGGATTCGCTACCTGGAATATTTAAATTGTTTTCAGACACTGGAAAATGGCTTAAGAAGATTAAAGAAAAATACCCTAGAGGATAACAGGCTATAATTTACTATGTGGAAAATCTTTTCAGCAAGAAGAACGCCTCATTCTCCTATAATTCCTCCTGATTAAGAGATGTATTAGTCATTTGGACCTAAATTTCCTTAGAGCCTGGCAGCTCGTGTTTATTTCGGTGGTGTGTTCTTATCAACCCTTTTGAATGACACCTAGGACATAAAATTGATACCATAACGTTCTCCATCCGAAGAGTCGAATGTTTTCAGGGGGGTTACTAATTTAAGTGTTTTGAAGGCAACTGGGGTAGGGAGGAGGGAGAAGTCATTGGAAGTTCTTGGGTCTGGACTGCACATGAAGCACTCACTGGAGCCCCTGGCACTGGGCTAGGCTCTGTCCTACCTGGCAAAAGGTGAAGGTAAATCTTGAGGGAACATCTGGTGTCTATTTCAAGCAAAAGACTCCAGCCAGCTCAGTTCTCAAAAACTAGCCCTCCACATTTGCCTACAGGCCCACTGAGCCCCTCTACGACTCCTGCAGCCCTCCCCCTCTGCTCCCGAGCCTCCTCAGGTGTCCCCCGGCTCCGCAGCCCTTCTCAGGGGCCCTCACTCCGGAGCCAGGCGCTGAAGTTTGGGATCAGCGACCACCTGTCGGCTGGACTGCTGTGCCCTCTGCCGCGTGGGCCCCCACAACAGCGCTAAGACGGTTAGCAATCACTAAACAGTTTCGGACTTCCAGGGCGTTCCTTCTTGAAAGGGGGCAAAAGAAGTAACGGGGCAGGGGGTGCGTCCGCGGGCGGAGAAAGGGCGCGTCTTGTTCAAGCCCGGCGCTTGCTGGCTGGTCCCAACTTCACATTCCGCACTTTCCAAACTCTCAGGACCTATTACCAGGTAAAGCCTGCCCTCTTGCTACGCTGGCCCAAAAGATTTAAGACCCTCAGGGGGCGCTTGCCAGCCCTAGACAGGATGTCAACTACTAAACCCCGAGGATACAGGAGCGCGCGCAAAGCTCCTGCCCTTTGCCACCTCCCTTGGCATATGCCAACCTGTGCTCCCCGAGGCCGCCCCTGCCCTCTCCCTGGGCGACAATTGCATAACGCGCCCCTCGCCCCACCCCCACGCCGCCCGCCCTACCCAGTGCCCGGGCCAGCGCCCCGAGCCGGGCCGCCCCAATACTTACATCATCCCACTTGACGAATTTGGTGCCCTTCTTGAGGCTGTCGGACACGCACACGGGCTTGAGTTGCAAGGCGTGCACTCCGGGTTGAGCCCCGGCCATCTGGGCTCATCGGGGCTCCGGGCAGCCCGGGCGAGTGCGGCAGGGACAGGGCGCGGGGCGCGGGCTCCTTTCTCCGCTCCGGAGGCGCTCGACGCTGCTCCCCCGCCGGCCTCCCTGGCCTCCCGGCCTCCGCACCTCCCTCGGGCGCCGCTCAGCAGGCGGGGCGCTCGGGGGCTCAGCGCCGGGCCATGCCCCGGGCGGGACGCGGGCTCGGGAGCCCGCGGTGGATGAGGAGCCTCGGAAGGCGAGGAGAAGCCGAGCCCGGCAGCCTAGGCTGCCAGCCGCCGCCGGATCCTGCTCCTCCTCTGCCGCCGCCTCAAAGCGCACCATTCAGCACATCCTCTATACACAGAGGGAGAGAGCGAGTGACACACGCCCGGCGGCCCCCCGCCCCCGCTCCTTCCCCTCCTCCCTCCTGCTCCCGCCCCCCTTCCCCGCCACCCTCGCTCGCTCGGTCCTTCCTTCCCCCCGCGGTTCCCAGCCCAACTTTGCGCGCTGGGTCAGGCGCCGGGAAGCGGGGACGCAGCGGCACCTCCTGGCTCGCGGGCCCCACTGCAGGCAACGCCTGCCTCCCGCACGCCCTCTGAGCATGCCCGGTGCCCTGGTTGCAGGGGTGCCAGGGGTGTCCGGGAGCCGTTCGCTCCTTAGGCTTTTCGGAGGAACTTGGGCGCGAGCCCGGGAGCGTCTTTGGATCTTAACCGGGTGGGAAAAGGGGGCCGTCTGGAGGGATCAGAGAGGCAACCCGCGACTTTCCGCTCTAGCCGCAGCTCTCCAGCGCCGGCCACAAACCAGCTTTTCTAAATGACAATTACTATTTGAGAGGCTTGGAGTGAGAGCTCTTTGGAGAAACCTCGCCGCACCTGAGAGTTTGCAGCGCGCTGATCTTGAAGTCAGTCGGGGCAAAAGGTTAAGTTGTGCTTTTGAGATAGAAAGGTGATTCTAAGGGAAGCAAAGGTTTTATTTCCTAAGGAAGACAGAAGGTCCTATCTCCCCATCCTCTCCTTAAGTGTGTAATGCGTGTATGTGTGCGTGTGTGTGTGTGCGTGTGTGTGTGTGTGAGAGAGAGAGAGAGAGAGAGAGAGAGAGAGAGCTGTCTTATTGATAGAAACTTGCTCATTTAGGAACATAGGTCAAGAAATGTTTGTATTCACTCATTCAGCAAACATCTTTCATTTCAAGTAAGGAAGAGGGCAGGAAGAAAGGAAGGAAAGAAGACCAAGACCGAAATGGATAAAATTCGAAAGACTGATAATACCAAGTGTTTTGAGAGGATGTGGAGTAACTAGAACTCTCATCCACTGCTGGAGGGAGTATAAAATGATAAAGCCACTTTGGAGAATAGTTTCTCATAAAGTTAAACATTTTCTTATCATACAACCCAGAAAATTCACTCCTAGATATTTGCCCAAGAGATATGAAAACATATCCCACACAGACTTATCCAACAATGTTAATCCCTTTCTTCCTAATAGCCCCAAACTGGAAACCACAAATGGCAATCAGCAGGTGAATGGATAAACAAATTGTGGTGTGCTCAAACAGTGGAGTACCATTCCACAATAAAAAGGAAGGGGCATGCAAGGACATGGGTGAATCGTACAGACTTTATGCTTAGCGAGAGAAGCCAGACACAATAGACTGCATGCTGCATGAATCCACTTGTAGGAATTCTAGAATGGGTGAGATATTCTATGTCAACAGAAAGAGGATCAGTGGTTGCCTATGGCCAAGGGTGGGCAGATATTGATAGGAAAGAGACTTCAGGGAGCTCTGGGGGTGTTGGAAATATTCTATATCATGTGTGCATACATATGTCAAAACTCATAGAACTGTACACCTAAAATGAGTAAATTTTATTGTAACTAAATTGTATCTCAAAAAAAGGTTGATATTTAAAAAGAATAAACAGAATATGAAGGGGAAAAAATAGATAAAACATGACTGTCTCTTAAGTCTTTATTCTCCCTGTCTTCTGCCCCCCAGGGTATCCAAGGACCAGTGTTTATAAATTTGGTCCAAAGATAACCAAAAATCCGGTGAGTAAATTTGCTTTTAAATATTTGTTAATAGTTGTGCTTAAAATATATTTATCACCAACTATATGCTAGGCGCTGTTATATCACCATGGAGAGCCTGGTGAATGAGACCTCTGACTCTCGCTGTCTTTGGGGATCCTTGCCCTGTCCTTGGAAGCCATTTGCCACAAAAAATTTCATGAAAGACAGACTTGCTTCATTTTGATCACATGTCCCTTAACCTGAATATGCTACTCACAGTCCTTCTTGCTAGTTACATCACAGTCTCACACTGATTTTCCTTACTTGGAAGACTGCAAAAAAAACTTGGTTTGCAGGGCTCAATTGTCCTTACAACTGATCCTACCAGATTGTCTTCTCCTTTCGTTTCCTTTTTTTTTTTCCTTTTCTTTTTTCTCTCAATCTCTTTGTTATCCACTAGAAAGATTATTGGGCACATAGGGTTTATCTATCAAAGTGGTTTCGGAAGGTAAGACAGACCAGGGCTCTGCCCCCTGAAAGAAGAGTTTGGAGGGTTAGAAATGGACTCTAAGCAAAATGAAAAGGGAGATTGCGCCTCCTTGTGGTGACTTATTGCATTATTGTTCCCTTCTTGTCCCTCCCTATGTCCACACATTTTGTCTTATGACCTTGTAGTTTTCAGTTAGACAACCTGTGTATTTATCCACCCCATTGATGTTGGATAATGTGACTTGCTTTGGTCAATGGAATATTTGAAGATGTGACATGAGCAAATTCTCAAAATATGCTTTGGAGGTTGGGCTTGCCCTCTTGGGTATCTTATCATTGCCATGAGATAAACATGCCTCAGGGAACCTCTGGTCCAAGGAGACATACAGGACAGACCTAAGCCCGATTTGCAGCTTGGAGACAAATCCAATGGAAACCATGCCAGATCTGCCAGAACCCTGCCAACTTGCAAACTCATAAGGATGACAATAAAAGCTAATTGTTGAATGCCACTAAGTTGGCATTGGGGTCATTTGTTACACACCATTATTGTGGCAAAGGATGGTTGAGTATTTCATCTAGCATTCTTCAGTCCTCCCAGATGTTGCTGTGAACACGAATGTTAAAAGGAGAGCGAAGCTGTAGAATTCTGAATAGGATTTGTCTTCAAAACAAACATGGGTGGCAGAAGATTCTTCTGCCAACAAAATGATGCAGCTTGATACAGGAGTACTACAGGATAAATCCCTTCAATAGGAAGGATGAGGCCTGAAGCAGCTTAGTTTAACTCCCTTATTTTCCACTCCATTTGTTAAGGATACAAGACAGAAATGTTTTTAAAGGGTGGGGATTTTTGCCATGCAAAAGGACCTATAAGGATATCCAAAATTGTGTGAGTCAGGCCTGCGATCCATCAAGTTCAGTGTTACGTTCTCTTTTTTGAAACAATAAGAAAGTCTGTGTTTTGTGAGAGCACAGAATTGCCCTCCAGAATGTGAGCCTCAGGGAGTTGGCAAAGCTAACCTTTATTGAGCACTCACTGGAGGCCAGAGCACTAAGCTAAGCACTTCCAAGACACTCAATAACATAATCCTTACTAATCGATAGCACTATCCATCTTCTTTCTCTTGTAAGTAAACCCTGATTTAATTTAGGTGGTAACCATGGTTAGGAAAGGTGATCCTTCCCTCTTTCTGGGGAATGAACTATGATTGATAAAAACCAACTACAATAATTCCATTCTCCTTTGTGACTAGTCCAAGGGATATATAAAGGACCCAGCTCTGATGAATGGGTTTGGGGGGAGGCTTCAGGGAAATATCTCTCTCTCCCTCTCTCTCTCTCTCTCTCTCTCTTTGGTATATTGCTATGTAAAGAGGACACTGAGTAGAAAGGTACAAAGAACCTTGGTCCTTCATGAGATTTCTAACCCTTTGTACTATCTCTAGACTTTTTGATAAGTGATATAATAGATGTCTTTATTCTTTAAGCCTTATTGTTACTCTCAGCTGATCTGGCAGATAATATTAGTGTCCCTTGTTTTACTTATTATAAAGCTGAGGCTTGGAGAGATGAATTAACATCCTCAAGGTCACACAACTTGGAACTGAGACTGAGACATAGAAAGTCTGACTTTAGAACCTTGACTCTTGGCACTTCTAGAACTTACAAGGCAGATCTGAGTAGTTTATGTCTTCTTTTAACCACAATATATTATTATAAGTAGTCTCAGTCCCCCTAGAAACTAAATGTAGTCCAGTCTCATATCAGTTTATAACCCACTTGAGGCCTGCCACAGTGGGAAAACTAGGTATTTTGATTCGAATAGATATACCTTTTAATAGCCAGTTCAACTGACTACTAGCTATGTGACCCTGGGAATACAATATCTTACTATGTAAATGGGGAGATAATAAAAATGAGGAAAGCTTATTATGTGCCAGGCACTGTTCTAAGAATTTTACACATTTAATACATTAATCCTCACATTAACCCTATGAACTGGGTTACTATTATTATCTCCATTTTATAGTTGGGGAAATTGAGTCAAAGAAGGGTTAAATTATTGTCCAAAATTTTCCAGTTGGTAAGTATAAGAACCAGAATTCAAATCAGTTAGTTTTGCCTTAGAGCCTGTATATTTAACCACAACACTAAGCTATCTTAAAGAGTTATTATAAAGCTCAAATGAAATCATGTATTCAAGTCCTTATCAAATAGTGTTAATTAATAGTAGTCAACATACTCATAGTTATTCTAGAATTGTACTACAGTGCCTTTATGTGTCCTAAAATAACTCTTTTAGTCTTCAAAGATAGCATCCTAATTCTGTGGTCTGTGATTTAGTCAAATTCTTTGTGGCTGCATTGATTCTATAAACTTTAATCATATTCATTTTCATCTCTAACCTTCTAGAATTGAAAAGCTCTTTTCCATCATGACTAAATGAGTTCTAATTGCATCTAAGCATCAGGGTTTCTTTAATTCTGTCTTTTTTGAAATAACGGAGAGATACAGAGAAAAACT